ATAGTTATATGCATAGTAAGCACAAGTTACATGTTGGTTCTCTCGGGCCTAGAGGGCATCGGGTGCCTGTCCGTCTTAATGGGATTTGGGACATGACACATTTTCTCTAAAACGATATTGGACTTTTATCGCAATATATGAAATAATTATTTACTGAGCAGAAATAATATAATTTGACTGGACAAACGAACACAAAATTGAGTTTCGGTTGAATATACAAGTTCATATCATTATTTAAGACATTTACGGAAAATAATTAGACCATCTCACTATCGTATGAGGAAGTCACGACTCTTTTAGTGAAAAATTTAACTTACTGGTTTCAGATGTAAATATTGTTGTTCATGTATTTAAAATTTCAGACTGTGTTCATTTGGTATTTTGAGCCTATTGAGAGTTCTAGAGCTCAGGATGGAATGATTCTTGCGGCATTCTTCTAGATTTAATATAGGGGTTAGTATCCAATCAATATTTAGGCTTTCTCTCATGATTTCTTAATTTGATTTTCTTTCCTTATCTGTTAAGTTCTTGGGGAAAATTGAGATTTTGTCGATTTGAATTCAGTTTTCTGTAAAAAAAAATAAATGTATATTTATGATCCTCGTGTTATGGATAAACTAATTTTTGGCATTAACATAGCTTGTTGATTCATCAATTATTTTCTTCATATTAACCGCGTATAAGCATAAGAATTTGAGCTTTTCCCGTTAAAGTTAAAATTTGATAAATTGAGTATTTCAAGGTTTGACTCCATTTTGGAATAAAATATCATATTTGAACTTACCTAAGCATGAATAATATATTTTCAAGAAATATTTTATGTTTGAGTCGAAATTTCGAACTCGAGTATTAGGGGTTTTTCTCGTGAACTTGTGTTTTAAGTAAATTAGAGTTTTGATCATGATTTCAACTCGACTTTCTTTACGATTTCACTTGTGAGTTTCAAAACCTTTGGGTATTATGATTTTCTATTTTAAAAAATTCCAGATTTATCCTTGGCGCTCATAATTGACTTTTTGGAATGTTTCGAACCCGATGTTTAAAATCAGCATTATGGGCGTCATCGTTCATATTTTCTTATGGGTATTCTATATTTGATTATTTGGTGTAGATTATGTGGATTGACGTGAAGGAAATGTTCAAGTTTCTATTTGATTTCTCCACCTGAAGGCAAGTGGACCTCTTGACCCTTCATTAAGTGTATTAAATCTTGTATGCCTTGTTGTGTAAATGTGAGTAATGAAAATTGATGAAAGGATTAGTAATATTTTTATTCTTATTAAATATAGAATGAATTCTAGTGTTGATATTGTGGCGTAAAAAGGGAATTATTGTTATACTATTGTATGATGTGCCTTAAATACTTGGATGGTTATGTTAATTCACCTTGATGAAGTACCTTGATTAATTGTGATTGGTTGTTGGTGTTGGAATCTCATCCTTTCATTGAGTATTTGTACATACCTATTTGTATTGGAACTGAGGCGCTGTTATGATGGGCACTATGTGATGTTGATGAAAAATAAGAAAATCACAAGAGAATGTATCATTTCGAGGGACGTGTCACACATCGTGAAATTTTTAATTATATCGAGGATCGTATCGCATACTGTGATGTATACTATGATTTCGAGGGATGTGTTGCACGCTGTGACAGATTCCTTAATATCGAGGATTGTTTCGCACGCTGTGATGATTGCATGACAAATATGTTCCCCATGAATCCAAGACTAAGATTCAGTGGGTGGGTATCATTAGAACAGACATGCATCACTATATATGACATTTCACTACATTGCATTACATTTGATCCTTGTATTATGATATTCATAAGTGATGTGGCCTTGTGATTGTTAAATTATGGAAAATTGTCATGGTATATACATTTATATATGTTGAGGTGCAAGTCGTAATGTTCTATATGTATTCTATTGTTATTGTGTGAAGAATGTTAGGATGGGCTGGTTGATTCGATGCAGATTGTAGTTTATGGAGGTTCGGATTGTGTGTTGTAGTACTTGTGTTTTGTATTACTTAACTTAGAGTCATTTGGGGTGCTTGTTGAGTATTGTTGTTGTTTAGTTTTCACTTCCTCTCTTTCTATACTAGTGTAGGTTACAAGCCCGGATCATTTTGACCATTCTCTTCTCATCTTCGTCTAAGGCTTGATTTGGGAGTTCATGAGTTATTTGCTTGTCCCCTCGGCAGACATCACTACTCTTTCACTATGTCTTGTTCTGTTTTAGATATAAAGAAATCAGACTTATATTTTCTTTGAATCCAATTTAATACTTAGAGGCTTGTACATGTGACATCAGTTTTTGGAGACATTTTGAGTTATGTTATATTTATTTACAATGTGCATATTATGTTAGCCTGTATTCTATTTTAGTTCCGTATTTATCATGTTTATTTGGGTTTTGGTTGACCTATCTTGGTGGGATAAGACAGGTGCCATCACCCTCAATTTTCTTATCGTGACATAAATTATCATTTAGTCTTATATAATGATTTTTTTTTCAATATATAAGCTGTAAATTAAAATTGAGTTCAAATGAACAGAACATTTATTAGATTCAACTTGCAAAAATCTCTATGAATTATCCGACTATGTATTTTGCACAAATCTCTTACTAATTTTTGTATCTGACCCCATTTGTCTATCACATACAAATTAAGTATTTAACAAAAAAAAAAGAATACGATAGTTCAGTTCAGAAAGCATTTTGTATTTATATAAGATCCAAAAAGATTCTTGAAAAAATGTGTGACACGGATAATTTACTCTGACACAAACATCATTAATTGATTCTATGGGTCAAACTCATAACTTATAAGTTGTTGGAGAATAAATTTAAAGTTTCTCTAAGGGCCTCGTTCTAAATATTAAACAAAATTATGCTTTAATTTTAACAAATTGAAATCTACTATACAATAACTTGTTTCTGATTGAACACCTAAACACATAACATTTAACTAAAATTTTGAAAAAAGATCTATGTATATTTTTAAGCACTCATTACATAGATACGTTAGCCACTTAAATTAATCATCTCCTTTAATAATTATACACATTAACCTCAATAAGCTGTAAAATCTTTCGCATATTTCAATTGATATAGACGTGTATGATTAAATGAGGTGGTATATCTCATATGATTACACATTGGGCGTTTGAGATTATACATAATATATATTTTAAAAATAAGTTTAAAATAAAATTATATGATATGAATATTAATTCTATCACATATTCAAATGCTCAATTGAAATAAATCATAGTTAGAGTCTAAATTTATGTAGAACCCGAGATTTCATGTAGTTGAGGCGCGTGCGAGATGCTTGAATGTCACGTAAGTTAAAAATATATATACAAAATTACAAAATAAAATGAATTGAGGAATAATAGGACCTGAGTTTAGTTAAGATGTGTGTCAGAAATTTCGATCATAATCTTGAAATACTTGTGTCTTATCCCTAAAATAAATATTCACTTAAAATAGGCAATTTTAACATCTTTTGTGAATTTCCATGGGCCCTTAATTTTACTATTTTTTGTTTTACAACTTTATATAATCTGTGGGCACTTTTTAAACTTTCATGCACCAAAAATTCCTCAATTTTCCTTTTAAAGTTTCAGTTACAAACAATTTTTGAAGAGAAATGAAATTCATGAGAGCACATAGTGGAACTGAAATTTTCATGAAATCGTCGTTTTCTTTTAGGCTTTTTCTGCTTTATTTTGTGTCTTTCTTATTTTTGATTTTGTATTTTCGTGCAATTCTGCTTTGAAAACTTTTTTTTTCTCATGACAAGCTACGAGAAAGGTATGTATATACTTTATTTTCCCACGTTTCATTTATGAGATTATTTTATTCTTCAATTTTAATATTACTATTGTTTTCTTTACTTCAATTATTGCATTATTTATTGTTGTTATTTAAGTCGCTGATTATCAGAAACAACATCTCTACCTTCACTAAATAGGAGTTACTACTGCACGCATATACACCACATTTTCAGACTTCACTTCTGAAATTACATTTAGTACGTTTATTGTTGTTATTAATTATTTCTCTATTTTTGTCATTTTTTCCCTTATAATATAAGCATTTGAAATCTGTGTATTTCTTTTCTTCTTTTTTTTAATGGAATTTTGTAACCCACAATAAAATAATTTCTGGGATTTTAGTGGAATATGCTCTTCAATTCAACGTACCATTTTTTTAGAAAAAAGGATAAAAATGTTTCCATTTTTTTAAGAGCTATTTGGCCAAAAGTGAAGGAAGGTTCTTGTGTTTGATGATTTCCAAGAAGCCCAACTAGACCTATAAATATTTGAGAAAATTTGCTAGTTGGTTCTTAGTACTCAAAGAGTAATAGTTATATATATAGTCAGTGAAAATAATTTTTATATTATCAAGTTAGTAGTAACATTTTTGTAAGGTTAGCAATTCATGTATGTTATAGTAATTTATATGTTATTATCTTATTAATGACTTGATTGTTATGTTGTTGCTGCATTCGTGTTGGATCCTAAGAAAAAAATTATTTTTTTGTAGGATTGGACACACAACTGCGACATTGTAGGAAAAATGTTGATTTCTTAAATGATTCGTGCTATGTGAAAAATGTTGATTTCTTGAATGATTCTTAAGTGCTAGCTATCGTCAATGTAGAAATTATACACACAAGTAAGTTGTGTTGCTTGAACTCTTCAAAATTGTTGCCACAATCGTGTTGAATTCTCCAAAAAGGACTATTTTTGAAGGATTTGAGCAACATAGCCTCTGAATGTATAAGTATTTTTACACCAACAATACATAGAACTTAAAAACTCATTCAAGAAACCAATTATTTTCATTTCTTGAAATTTTGTGAGAATTAACTCATGATAATAGTGTTTTCTCTTATTTATTTATTTATTTAAAAAGAATTTCCCTCCTATTGGCAACATCATGATTCATGATAGAGTTTTATTTTGTAGCAAAGGAAAATCAATGGTATTTAATGGAGATTTTCAAGAAGAAGATCTATGGAGTCAACATGTTGTGAAGAAGAAATTATCCATTACTTCAAAAATGATCCCAAAAGCTAAAATTGCTACAATTAGCAACAATGAGTCTACTCATGTGCCAAAACAATCATCATCTCCTATTAACATTTCTGATAGGTCCAAGATTTACAAAAAGAAATCATCAAGTATATTCATGAAGAATGATAGTTATAGTGAAAGTGTTGAAGAAGATGAAGATTCTGATGATATTGAAATGTTGTCACCACATGAATATTTGGCTAAGAGGGTTGCTAGGAGTCAAATTGATCCTCCTTCTATGTGTGAAGGTGTTGGGAGGACACTTAAGGTAAGAGATCTTATTAGAATGAGGAATGATATTTTAATCAAGACTGGGTTTTTGGAAAAAAATAATTAACTATACCAGTGTTGTTTATAGGTTACAGATTTGAGTCGTGGAATTAGTTGTTGAGTCTAGCATCAAGGTAGATTGCGTATATCACACCTCACTAGGTTGAATCATTTCACTGAACTCTGTGCGAAGAGGAGAATGTTTTGTGCACCGCTATGTCCTTTTATAATTTTCTTATTTGTAAAGCAACAAGCTATTCGTAGTCGAGCTAGTGAATTTCAAATATTGAATAGTTAAGAGTTTAGTGGTTCCAATTTTAATTTGTATATGCCATAGTAGGCATAAACATTATTGAAGAATGATTATTATGGAAATGTTGATTATATTGTATAAGAAGATGAATAAAGTGATGATTATGGTTATGAAATTGTACCACCTCATGAATGTATATTGCTTGAATGGTTGCTAGGAGTCAAATTGTTTCTTTTTCTATGTGTGGAGGTGTTAGCAAATTGTGGAATGCCATTTTAACAAAGGTGTGTTTTTTGGAATAAAATCATTATCATTATAGTAAACTAGTTCTCGAATACGTGCGTTGCACATGTATTCTATGTTAACTAGTATAAAAAAATTGAGCAGATGTAAGAATTTCAAAAGAAGACCACGCAAAATAAGTCACGTAATTAATATAAAACAAAATCTGAAGATTGAAGATGCAAGCAATGAACAACAAAGAGCAGAAAAGAACAAAAAATATATATAAGCAAAACTGAGGTCTACACAACTTAAAGGAAAGTTAATTGAAGAAACTAATATAAAAAGAATATACCTTTATCCAGAGAGTGTTGTGCATACACCAAATTTTGAGCATTTTAAAGAACAAAGCATTATAATAAATTGATAATGGACCAAATGCAAAAGCTATTGATTTTACTGAAGGTGAAAGGATATGAAAAGTTTTTTTAACATATGGAAGCTAAAAAAAAGTAGAAAACAAAAGAAATTTGTAATGCCATAACTAAAGAATTAAAGTATAACTCTTGGAATTCAAATTATGTTATTATGTAATTAAAATATTATTATTTAATTATACATTTAATCATTTTAATTAAGTGGAAGGGAAAAACAGTAATCCAACTTTGAGGTTAGGATAAGTGGAAGGGAAAAATGGTAATCCAACTTTGAGGTTAGGAGCTTCCACTTTTAGTAATATACTAGTTATGGACATGTGCAACGCATATGTATCCTATCAAGTATTTCAAACTTTCTAAAATGACATGAATATTAGTACAACATACATGTGCAAGTGTTTCCAATTTGAAAGCAAAAATACAATGTTCCATGTCAAAATATATGTTGCAACAATATAAAACAATTGCAAAAGACACTATAATGTTACTCTTGAACAATATACTTCAGGTAGAATATTCAATAATCTTGCTGATTTTTATTACTAAAATCTAAACAAAATTAAGTTTAATTACTTTCATTCTTATAATATTACAATCAAAATGTCCAAAAGCAATGTTATCACACCAACCATTTGAGTTTTAACACTGCAGATAACTACCATCAATATAGAGTGCTCATATTTAAGAAAATTATTAGGCTTAGTATCGCACAAATATGAATGGAACTGTCATTTTTATTTGAAAATGAAGTTGTTAATCTCATTCATACAAATAGTTGAAAAACTAAACATAAAACAAAACGGGTGAAAATGAATAATATATGTATGTGTTCGCAACAATATATTAGATAGACGATAAAGTAACATAATTAAAATCTTTCATTCAAAGTAACAATTTTTTAGAAATCTTTATTTAAATTAATTTGAATTTAGACAATTGACAATATGGATATCTGAGCATAGTGCATAAATTATTCTAGTATTATCAAACTCATCATACATTAATAGAAGTTTTGTCTATTAAGTAACAATTACTAGAACAATAACACAATGACAAATAAAAATAAACTCCCACAACAATGCAAAATGATACAAGAATTACATAAAAATGTGAATTGCATACCAAATTTAATTTGGACAACCATACCTTGACTCCAAAATGGAAAGAAAATTTAAAATTATGAGCTAATAAACAAAAGATCTCAAGGAATAGGTCATCTCTTCTATACTTCTGAGTTCAACTATTCTATTGTAAGAAAACTTCTCTTTTTCATGATTTCATCTCTTATACTTCTAACTTCGACTATTCTATTGTAAGAAAGCTAGCTTCAAAATGATGTTATATGTTCTTCTCCTCAGTTAGCTTCTTGAGGATATGTTATATATTTATCTAGAAAGAAGATTAGAGAACCGTAGATGATAAAAAAAAAAGAATATGATGATCTAGGGACAAGCAAATTGTGGCTATAATTTACTGGTATTTATAGTGATATTTAACTGTCTTTTCACCTACCAAAATTCAATAATGAGACACATTGAATTACGACACATAAATTTTATTTTTGGTTTCAAAATTCAAAGAGTCATTGAATTGGAAGAGTTTCAATAATGAGACACATTGAATCATGACACATAAATTTTGTTTTTAGTTTCAAAATTCAAAGAGTCACTGAATTTGAAGAGTTTTATACATTGTTTTGTCTTCTACTTAATTAAATTAATTAATCTAATCAACTATAATTATAATGCCATAACATAAGAATTAAAGTATAGTTGTTAGGCTTCATATATATCATTATGTAATTAAAATATTAATATTTAATAAATTAAGTAACCATATAATATATTATATATAGATTATTTTAAGTAAATTGAAGGAGAAAAATAAAAATAGATACAATTTTTTTTGGAAAAATGTAACTAATTTATTTTTTAAAAGAATAAAAATGCCTAACAATTTTCTATGAATATATTTTCTTTGAATTTTTGACTTAACACCTTTTCACTTTAAGAATTTAGTGTAATATAATAATAATATTATATAATTAGTATTCAATATTTAATTGATTAGCTATTTCATAATATTTTTATTTAGTGTAGGGGTAAAATGGTATTTCATGTTATGGTTTTCGACACTTCCAATATTGAGCATAAATCTGTGTAAAAAATCACTAAATTGCAACAAATAGTCAACATGAACCATGAGTCATTTAGTACAAAATTGAACATATAGAATATGATTTTTAGACATTAATAATAGAAACAACGGTGAGAAAAATATATTAAATAAAACAGTGGCAAAACTAAGATTTTTACTAAAAGGGATTCAAAATATGAAGAACTAAACACACGAAGGTTCAACATATGCTACATATACATAAAAAAATTTATTTAAACCATATGTATAAATAGTGTAATTTTCCGTCAAAGAGGGTTTGAATGAAGCCTCTCGGCCTTACTGACTCCCCCGATAAAACAGATGGGTCAAGAATGATCCTTTCATCTTCATCTCATATCAATTTCCGTTAAGATTATGCTTTGTAATAACAATAAATATAAGTGAATAGATTCATTTTCTAATCAGGGTGGCTTGCATTTTTCTTAAACTTTTGTAACCCATAAAATTATTGTGTCGCGTAACTCTTACAAATCTCTATGACTTCATTGCATTATACGTTAGCTTATAAATAACTTTAGGAAATGACTGTTCAAATACATTTTATACTACAGCATTTGAATCTGATCTATAATTATACATGAAAGATAACTTTTCAAATTACTTATCTATTTTTTCAAATTAATTAAGGAAATCAATGCATTGATTTTTGAAAGAATACATTATACATGCATTTGAATCTAGTCCATATTATTGAACCACACAAAGTAACCTTTCAAATTCTTAAACCTTTTTGAGAGTAACTAAGAAAATTAATGCATTGTTTTTTAAACGAATGAATTATATTAATTTAACACCTTCTCACTTTTAGTATTTAGTATAATATAATATGATTAGGTACTTAATATTTAATTAATTAAATATTTTATAATATTATGATTGAATGTAGGAGTAAAATGGTAATCCAACTTTGCACTTAGGAATTTTCCACTTTTAGGAGTAATATATATGTGAATATGATATGATAATTTTTTTAATTTATTTTATACAAAAAAAGTATTTACTTTGAGATAATTTCTAAATATTTCTTATACTTTTTTCATAATTTTTATCTCTTAACATATTATTTCAATTTTTTTGAGGACTTAGAATTTTGGATGATCCAATAAAAATTAGAGTCTATAAATTAGAATTTTGAATGGTCCAATAAAAGTTGTAGTCCATAAATATTAATAACTCTAATAAAATTCAAATCAAAATTAAATCAATACTAATGCTAACACAAAATAATTAATTCAACACGAATGACAATAATGTTGAATATTTGTTCTTTAGTTTTACATTGATTTTGACATTTAAAATGAGTGAAAATCATGTACAACCCCGAACTTTACTTTATAAATCAAACTCCCCCCTCAACTTTGAGAAATAATCAATCTCCCCCCACCCCACCCCCCCCCCCCCACATCCCTCTACTNNNNCTCCCCCCCCCCCCCCCCCCCCTTTTCTAATTGACTTTTTTAAATGCCTATTCTACCCCTACACTATCAACCTTTTTTTTTTTTTTATACTATACTTCTTTTAAAATCATAATATTTTTATATTTTAATCTATATATTTTGTTACTTAATATTTTGTTTGTAATCTGCTCTAAATAGCCAAATACAAGATACATCTCCATCTTTGTAGGTCATGGTTGTTGTAGGTTATCTTTCTCCATTCTACCTTTAGTATATCACCTTTCAGTCTCTAATAAACAAGTCTTATGCTGAATTAAGACATTTGCATTACATCTTGTAGTCTATAACCAGCCAGTTCAAAGGTCTTTGTAGAAGCTAATATCTTTTTATCATCCATGAGGCAGGAGTAGCTTTGTTTCCCATACATTTTCATTTTATATGTAGCAGTTGTGGATCCACTTTACCCACAAGTTATCTTTCTTTAAACACACACTCCATATATGTTTGCATATAACAACCTTGTTTCAGGTTGCTATATCAAGAAAGCCCAAACCTCCAGCAGTTTGAGGACTACAATGTCTTTCCCAAGCGATTAGAGCAGTCTTATTTGTGTCAGCTCCACCGGACCATAAGA